TAAGCAAGTATATAGAACGAACGTTATTAACAAGTCAAATAGATGTATATACAAGGTAAACACATACATAGAGCGTAATTAACATTAAAATACATGTAAGCACGTATATAGAACGTTAGTAATATTGGTATACATATAACCACGTAGATAGAACGTTGTTAACATTTGTGTACATGCATGCACGTTACAAAACCAGTCATATTCGTCTAGGAAGAAACAAAAAAAAACTTCGCCGGTTTACTAAGCGTGTGAGGCTAAATATGGAAAGAGGATGGACTAATGCTAGAATTGTTTTAGACCCCTACAAGATTTTATCAAAAACTAATTTCATCCCAGATCTTTACTTGTGAGCTAATCTCTATACTATTAAAAGAGAAGTACAAATGTAAATGGGTCGGGTCAAAATCAGAAAATTGACCCGAAGTTCTGAAATCGGATCTTTGAAAAAATTTTGGAATATAAATTCGAATTAATAATGAAAAATCGAACTAAAATCAAATGTTTATAGAAATCAAATAAAATTTGATTGTACTTATGGTAAATAATTATAAAATCATATTTCAAACAATATTATACATTAATTACGTATAATATATTTGTTCATATACTTTTGGAACTAATTCCATAATAATCAACGTTTTTCTCATTAATTTTGCTTATTTTAGCCAGTTATCATTAATTAAAAGATATCTTACTTGCTTCTAGAGATTTCTAGAAAATTTATCACAACTAACACATCTATTTTATAAATTAAAAAGATTTTTTTTTTATTTTGGTCATGTAAATTAAATATATATGAAATCTATTTAACTAATTTTAATTTAATTAGATTAAATCAAAATTATGGTATTTTCATACTTATAGCTTACCAAATAAGTTTAATTTTCAAATTATAAAGATTTCTTGAATATGATTTTTAGAATTATTCAACAAGATGATAAATATTTATTAAATTTTGTGAATCATGAAAAATATTACTTATTTTTTAATCATTATATTTTACCTTTTAGTCTCTCATCTAACAAATAAGATACATATTCTATTATTCCTATGTCCAAACTCCATTGTGTTGTATAACTAAATAATATTTCCATTAGAGCTGTCAAAACGAGTTGATTCATCCTATTAAGCCTGTTTTGCAATAGGCAAAATAAATTTTGGCATGTAGTTAGTCTGTCCGCACGACCCGCGGGTAGCATATATGAAACACAAACCCGTCGCGCGAATGTATGCTGATTTGCGGGGTTATCCGTGAATTTTGTTTAAATAATTTTAGAGTAACCAAAATTTAAAATTCTACTAAAATAAATAAATTAGAAAAAATTTAGAGATAATAATCTTATATATCATTATATTTATAAATATTATAATTACATTTATTAAAAGTTTTTTAAACTACCACATGTTGAATAAATTATATTTTTATCAATAAATACTATCATGCGGGTTGATCCGCCAACCCGTGGATAAAAACCGATGACCCACTGCGAATCAATCCATGTGGCCCGCTTATTTGCGGGTTTAATATATTTTCCCAAATCTGCCCAATAGTGAGATGATTTGGGCTCGATCCGCGGTTTTTGACCTATTTAATTCCCATGATTCGTCTAATTTTTGAATTCTAAAACACAAAATTCCATTTTGTAAATCATAATTAATATGATTGGTTTAATTATAAACAATTTAATATTTTTTTACAATTTGTTATTAGGAATATGTATAAGTACACTACACGATTAGTTCTATTAAAAATACGCACAATATTAAAATCAACGTATGTAAATCAATATTCTCCCGCGGTGAACCGCGGGTCCGATCCTAGTTATCTCTTAAAATAAACCCCTTAATTTTTCGTTTTGCACTTTGCACAGCCACCAGTGAGGCTATGATCCTCTACAGTACAGATAACATAATTATCGTGCTCCACAAAAATATCAGCCGTTGATAGACTACACGTGTGGGAAATCCTACGGTCATCATAAATAAAGGAAAAAAAAAAGCTGGAAACAACAGAGACGTAAAAAGGAGAAGCCAAAATACGTCTCTTCATCAATCTCAATATCTCATGGTTTAGTAAAACAAAAAGAAATCGAGAAAACAAATACTAAAAAACGAAAAAAGGTGTTCTTTGATCAAACAATCATTCATTACTCATCATCATCAGGGCCCTTGTGTTCTCTGAGTCAAGTAAGATTCTTTTCGACGATTCCATTTACTCTTTGATTTGGGTTTCATCATTCTTAATCTGGGTTTTAGTTTAAACTTCGAATTAAGGACTTGATTAGCTGATTTGGGTTTGATTTTGTGTTATTTGATTTCAAAGTTCTCAGCTTTTAGTTTCTCTGATCCTAATTTATCAACCCTTCACTTTTTCTGTAATTTGATTTGAAGTAATGCGTAAAGTTATCAAATTTTCTATCAAAAGGTCTGATTTTTATGTTGACTTTGTGATGACGGTTTATGTTAAACCCATTTAGCTTTGGATCCTAGAAATTGTCTTTATGATTGTAAATTTTTAGTTTTTTAGTGAATTTTGATTCTGAGTTTCTTCTATAGGTAATTGAAGGATTCTCATTATTGTGTACTTTGAGTTTTTCAATATTGATGGCTCTTTTTTCTTACACGTCTCTTTGTTTTCATCAAAAGCCATGATTAACTTTGCCAAAGTGGACGTAAATTTCATTCTCTGAGTACTGATTCCATATCTTATGTAATGTCCTTTCACTATCCACATGTAGATTCTCTCCATGTTTGATTTCTCTTGCTTCAAAGCTGAAACAGGTTTAGAGTAGAGTTTGTGATCTAAAGCAAAACAAAAAAGTGAGGAATATTCTTGAGAGATTGTTTTTTGACTGTGGAAAAAGATAGTATCGAAATTAGTGGAGGAATTGATTCAATGGTTCATCTCCTTTGCATAGAGTTATATTCTGTATATTAACTTTCCGAATGTGAGTCTCATTTCTCGTTTCAGTCATTTGCAAAGCTCTGAATTAGGATACTGTGTGGTGTTTTGCAAAACTTCTCTTGTGCTATGACTCTGGCTAATGATTACGGATATTCAACCGCTATGTCTTCATCTTTTTCAGCTCTTCATACTACTGTAGAAGAGAGATACCGCAAGTTGCCTAACTCTTTTTGGGTTTCATCAGGTCAGGAACTGATGAATAACCCTGTACCCTGTCAGTCTGTCTCTGGTGGAAATTCTGGTGGGTATTTGTTTCCTTCTCCCTCTGGATTCTGCAATGTTTCAGCTGTCTCGCCTCATGGAAGGAATTTGCAAAACCAGCCACCTGTTTCCATCGTTCCAAGAGAAAGATTGGCTATGCAGGATTGCCCTTTGGAAGCTCAGCCCCCCTTGTTGATTAATCATCACCATCAAGAGTTCACAGATCCGCTTCCGGAGTTCTTTGATTTCTCTGATCATGTTCCTGTTCAGAATGTACAAGCAGAGAGCAGCGGAGTAAGGGTGGACTCATCCGTGGAACTCCATAAGAAAAGCGAATGGCAAGAGTGGGCAGATCAGTTGATTTCTGTTGATGATGGTTCAGAGCCAAATTGGTCTGAACTTCTTGGAGATTCAAGTTCCCACAATCCAAATTCAGAGGTTCCGTTTCTCTAGCCATATATGATCTCTAGGTTTGTTGGTTGTCCATATGTCATTTAATCAGTGTTTTGCATAATTGGGTAACAGATACCTACACCATTTTTGGATGTTCGAAGGCAAGAGATAAAAGCCAACCAGCAGCAACAGGTGGTTTCATCAGAGGACCAGCTCAGTGGCAAAAACTCATCATCTAGTGTAGCAACATCTAAACAACGCATGCGTTGGACACCAGAACTTCACGAGGCATTCGTTGAAGCTGTTAATCAGCTCGGTGGTAGTGAACGTACGTAAGCCTTCTCCTTCTCTTGTTCCTGAAAATAATTGCTCAAGGCTGTTAATTGTAAACGGTGGAACTGATTGTTCAATAATTTCGATCATAGGAGCCACACCTAAAGCTGTTTTGAAGCTCTTGAATATCCCTGGCTTGACCATTTATCATGTAAAAAGCCATTTGCAGGTTTGTTCTTATCCATATGCTTTTTTGTTTTTGCATCTCATACTGTTTCTCTGCTAAGCGTAGCTAATTTCTCATTTCTTACCGTCTTTCCGTTGAACTCTTTTGTCTACAGAAATACAGAACGGCAAGATATAAACCGGATACTTCGGAAGTTACAGGTAAGGACTTCATGTACTTTAACATAATACTACTCTACATTTTCTGAGCTATAAACCACATAGGCCTCTAAAGAATTGGTCACTCTCTAGAAAAACCTAAACTGTCGACAAATAGCTTACGAATGGGCACATATGTTTGTATAAATTTGTTTCTTTCTTGCACAGGAGAACCTCAAGAGAAGAATATGACATCTATTGAAGATATCAAATCTCTTGACATGAAAACGTAAGAATCTTTCTTCGTATTCTTCAGAATTTTTATTCTAATAGGATTAAATACTTGTAATGTATTTCTTACTATATGATTTTGTTACTATTTCTTTTCCAGGAGCGTTGAAATCACACAAGCTCTACGATTACAGATGGAAGTGCAGAAACGTCTCCATGAGCAGCTCGAGGTAATGATATTACATGCCTAAATGTTAAAAAACTGTCCTTCATTACCTGATTTGAGCTTAGATAGAGTAGTAGTCGTAAATATCATGAACATTATCTGATTTTGTCTAAATTATATGCCAGATTCAACGGTCACTGCAGTTACAGATTGAAAAACAGGGCCGATACCTACAGATGATGTTCGAGAAACAACAAAAGATACAAGAGAACAAGAGCTCTTCCCCAGAAGCATCACCAAAGCAATGCAACGGTACATCAGCAGAAGTCGAAGTTGATCTTGAGACACGAACAGGGGCCCACAATGAACCTGCTTCAGCATCAAGGAAACGTGTCAGAGAAGATTAAAAGAAGTTTAATTTGATCTCGTTGGCGAAACATGTTTATTGGGAATTAATTGTGGAAACCCAGAGATGCAACAACTCCAGTTTTGTTAAAAGAATCTGTTTCTTTCCTAGCTTTGTGTTTAGTTCAGTTTAGAAACAGTTGCTTTGAAGGCCCTGCAACACTAACTAAAGACCAAGTACTGAAGATGATTGTGTTTTCGTGTACATAAAACTTTGTATTTGATTTGGCCCTGCAAGGCTGCAAACACTAACTAAAGACCCAATTGGTGTATATATGATTGATAAATTGATTTTGAAAACCAGACCGGACACCCGCTTGGCATTTTCATCGGGCGGCTGGTTGGACCGGTCCAATTAGTTGGTCCGGGTTTATTTTTCTTATTTTGAGTTTTTGACTCTTATAAAAAAACAAAAAAAAAAAAAAAAAAAAAAGCTCCGAGGCCCGAAACTCGAGAAAACCCTAATTCCTCCTTAGCTCTTTTCATGGCTGCCGTTGCCGCCGACGGCGACCCTCCGTTGCCTGAACCTCCTGACCCGCCCGATCCTCCTAACCATCCCTCCTGCTTCGTTCTAATCTCCATCTCCAATCCATCACCCATCTCTCCTCCCTTTACACATTTCCACCTTCCACTTTCTTTGGATCCAGTTCTAGATCTTGGTTCTTCCGCTTCTTCTTTTGGTGGTTCCCCTTTCGCTTCTTTGCGAATCTTTACTGCTGTGTGCAGTCCCTGGTTTCAGACCTGTTCCCAGATCTGTCTCCTATCCGTCGGTTCTCAAGCCAAAGCTGTTGGTAATGTTGTTTCTCCGCCGTTGTGGCCTGTGACGAGAAGACTCATGTTCCTGCAATCTGGTTCTGACGTGTCTCCGGCTCCCCTTGCCTCCGTTCCCAGCCGCTCGTTCCGCCTCTCCTCCACAGTGTCTTCGAAGTGGGCATGGGCCAAGAATCCCTTAGTGGGCTTTAACCCCATCGCCAGTCTCTCCATCATTTTAAAGGCCATGGCTTTCACGGGTTTCATAGGTATGTCGACTAGATTGGGTTTATTTTTCCGCGTGACCGTAAAGCTGAGCCATTGTGCATCGATTTTACCCGTCATTGCTCCTCTTGGATCTACTGATGATCCCTTTCCCGTATTCTTGCGGATAGTTACTGCTGCGTGCAGTCCATGGAAATTGGTTTATTTCCAGATTTTTGGTTATCCTTTTGATACAAGTGGTTCCGATTCACTTGTCCTGACACCTGTTTTACACGATATCTCTCCTCCCTCAGTTCTGAGAGCATCCATTACTCTTTCCCTAGCCCAGAATCGACTATGGTTCCATACTTGTGTAACGTACAGTATGGCTTCGATTCTGGTTTGCCCTCCTCCCATTCAAAATTTCGCAAGCGTGCGATCTATTACTGCAATATGCAGTTTCTTTGTATTCATTATGGCTTTTGGTGCTGTGATTTTGGTTTCTCTTTCTTGGTGGCAGGTTGAAAGGCCTCCCCCGATGAATCTGGATATGTTGGGTATTTGGTGCCCTGGTAGCTCTTTAACAGAGCAGTTTCTCTTCCCAAAATTCCCTCCAATGTGGAGTGGTTTGGATGTCGAAGCGTTGTCGGTATTGCAAGGATCCTCCTCCCGGCTGAAGCTTTTATCTGCCTTTGATGCAGATTATGTAATCTCTCGGGTTACGACGGATGCAGTCTTTCAAGAATCTATGGAGATCGTTCTTGTTGTTCGATTTCCTTTGTGTTATTCTTATGATTTGTATCGCCTATCCATCTATCTTTTAACCATTGTTATATGGTATGTTTGGCTTCTTACTATGTTTGTTACAGTTTACTTACTGTTGGTTGTAATTCCTCCTTGTAAGGTATCTTAAGTGGTGGTGAAAACAATCGGTTTGTCCAAAAAAAAAAATAATTGGGTTGGCTGTATCAAATTCAATTATGATGGAACTTTTGTCAATCCATATCCCGGCTAGATCAAATGCAATTACGATGGATCGACAAATCCATCATAATCGTCTGGATCACTTTTCTTAGTTTTAAATAATTACAATAGGAAAAAGATGAGAATGTGTTGAGTACACAATATCTACGTGCCTATGTGACTTCTTGTTTTTATTTGTGGTTTTAATTAATTTATATTTATTTAAATATCAAATATTTCGTGGACAAGACTTTGAAACAATATATTTCGAAAAATGTTGGTAGACAACAAATGTTGTACATGTTTGAAACAACAGATTGAGAAGATATTTGGTGGACAAAAAATCTTGTCTACATTTCAAACAACAGATTTCGAAGAATTTTGGTGGATAAGAATTCGAAACGACATACTTCGAAAATTTTGGTAGACAAGAAATGTTGTCCACGTGCAAAATATAACAGATCCCGTTTATCTTCCTTCTCAGATTTAGATTCGTTTCCACTTTCCAAACCAGATTCAGACTCAGATTTTTTATCTCGATAAATCTCCGACGATGTAATCCTAGATCGAAAACGTGATGAACCGTTAAAAATCCGAAAACAGTGTGAATAATATTTATTTAAAATTGAATTGGGTCATACTTGAATAAGAAGAAGAAGATCAAAATTTGGAAATTTTTTATATCTGAGATTCATTATTTAGAGGAAAGAGAGAGATGATAGAGAAAGAAGAATAAGGGGAAGAAGAAGCGAGAAAACAAAAAAAAAAAGTAAGTGAGAGGGAGAGAAAAAAAAGAAAGAATGGTTTTTAATGAATTTGGTTGAAGGGTAATTTTGACATTTCTCAAATAAGTTATGGCAGTCTAGGAAATGGTAAAGCCTTTGTGGCAATTTTGCTAAGTTTTGCTACAGTACATGTCACATTTCTTAGATTATCATTACAATATTTGTGAGAAATCCAAATAAATAAAACCTTAAACATTCTTTGAAATTATAAACATTTTTTGCTACAGTACATGACACAATTCTTGAATTCTAAATTCTAAATTCTCAGATTCATTTAAAACTCCGAAAAAAACCTTAAACATTCTTTGAAATTATAAAAATTTATATTTCAGATTTAAATATATGTTATATTATTTAGGGTATATGCATAAACTAACCATGAAATGGAAAAAAATAAAGAAACTAACCTTTAACAATAGTATTTTGTCGGGGAGACTATGTAAATTACACTTGCAACCTTTATATATTCTCTCTCCATTATTCTCTTTTAATTTTGTTTTTTTTTTTCTCTCCATCCATTTTCAACCACTCTCTTCTCATTTGTCTTCTTCACCACAACGATGCCCACACAGCCAAACCCATAATCAAATCTTTATCATCGAAATAGAAATATCTTTTCCTCTTTCTCTTCTCAATCGAAGGCGACACCACCAACAACAACGTCTTATCCACCAACCGACACCTCTTAAACCACCACTACAGTATAAACCTCGACAACACCTTGTTCCCCCATATTTGAAATCTCTTCTACTTTTTTTTTCGTATCCATCACTACCACCTCCGTAACGACGACCACCACCTTCATAGCCTCTGTCACCACCTTTCATATGACATGCTATTTGTTTTTAAATAGCATGGTATTGTTTCTCAACACACTATATTTTCTTAACACGCTATATTTTCTAAAATGGCATGCTATTGTTTCATTTGACAAGCTATATTTTTCGAAAACACTGTAGTTTTTACAAATTTCAAGCCAATTCAATGTTTTTCTTTTTGATCTAGTGTGATTTTTATTTGATACATGTCATTCATTAAAATTACTTGTATCTGTTTGTCTTCTTTCTCCACCATCACCGTCTTTTCCGTTGAATCGTATCGACACCACCAACCGCCACCTCTTAAACCACCACTACAATATAAACCTCAACAACACCGCCTCCACCCATATTTGAAATATCTACTACCTCTTTCTTTTGTAACCATCACTGCCACTTCCGTAACGACCACCACCACCTCTATAGCCACCGGCACCACCTTTCATATAACATGTTATTTGTTTTTAAATGGTATGCTATTATTTCTCAACACGCTATAATTTTTCAACACGCTATATTTTCTGAAATAGCATGCTATTGTTTCCTTTGACAAGCTATATTTTTTGAAAACACTATAGTTTTCGTAACTTTCAAGTCATTTTAATGTTTTTTTTTTCAGATCTAGTGTCATTTTTAATTGATACATGTCATTCATTAAAATTACCCATCTCTGTTTGTCTTATTTTTTTATATCCAGCGACAAAGTTCTTGTAATTACTATAACTTACAAGGATAATTTGGTATTTATCTTATCCCTACCCCCACAAGAAAAAGAGTTATTTTCTAAAGAAAACTGACACAACGTTAGTTTCTTAATTCTTGTGTAGAATTTGGCTATTTGTTAATATTTCCCTATTATTTATATATATTATACCATTTTAGAACATGTTAACTTATTAAATAATTTATATACTTAAATAATTTGGTGCTGTACATAGGGTAAATGACATATATCAACTTTTAATATAATATATATATATATACATTTTTTTCATTTACGTCTAAAATATTTGTGTATTTTAGTGGAAATAGATACATAGTTGGTGTATTTTTATGGAATTTTCTCAAGAATAATAATATCACTTTTATCTCATGAGTACAACAAAAACTATATTTCAGATCATTTAAATCTCCAAATGAATGATTTTTTTAAAACAACAAATCAATTATACGATATCATAAAAATATTATATGATACATGAAATCATTCAAATACAACTATTGAACTAAAAAAAAAAAAAATTGATCCTACTTTCCAAACGGAAGCCTTCCATGCAACATATTTCATCTCTTAAGTCTCTTCTCTTCATATACTATAAAATGTAATTAAAAAAATGTATAGGACTTGTTCTCCAAAATGTAACTTGAAGAAATAATCATTGGATATGTAATAAATGTTGATCACATAATAGTTATTATGAAAAAAGAAGAAGACATGTAGTAATATTTTAATCCATATTAAATCAAAAGGAGATATATGTATAAACACTACAATAAGCATCCAAAAATAAATAGCATGAAAGTATAGCAGCCACGATTGTTTATTGTACTCTATAATCCTAGGAGAATATTGTTGATAAAATATAAATTTCAGAATCCTATCGACATTTATATTTTGAAAACATAAGCTTCCTTTTACCATGTGTTGAGAATTGAGAATTGAGAATTGAGATTGGGTTATAGAGCCACCCTTTTACAAGGCAGAAGAAACTCATGCTTTAGTCCGCTAATTAATTTTAGCACCAATTAATATAATTTCAACAGTTCACTAACATTAGCATGGTATTGTTTCCAAAATCTTATGATTTTCATATTTCACCTTTATTTTTTACATGTCTTTACAAGATTTCAAATCAAAAACACTATTAAAAGATGTGAGAAAATAAAAATTAGAATGCTTGGCAACTAATGAGATGTTTGGTTGGTGAAGCGGTGAATTGAAGGTTATATAGAGAGTGTACGTATTTCTAGGAGGGAATAGAGTCGTAGGGTTTAACAATTTTTTAAAAAACATATTCGAATTCCTTAGAAAAAAAATCGAAGTTTTAGGCTTTGAGCTGTTAATCTCAATAAATATTATTTAGACTTTTTTTAAAAAAAAATTTATGTAAAAATGTAAACCAACTAGAGATTACCGCGGGATAATATATTTTTTTTAAAAATAGAAATTTTAAGTTGCATTTGTTTTGTTAATATTATGTGTTTCGTTTAGTTTTTAAGATTGTATAATTATATTTTGATTGTTAATTTTAGCATTTCACCCATGGTATATCATTCCGCATTAATATCGATCCAAATCCGTTTCACCATATAATCCGTCCCGTGAAATTAAACATCATTTTGGTACTTTTCTTTTTAAAAATTCTTTTATTTAAAAGATATATAATTTGAGTCAATTTAAAAGTTTGTTTTTAAATGGTTCCATAATATATATATATATATATAGAAAATTTTTCTAGAACTCAAATATTATTAATATTATCAGTTTTTTAGAGAATTTAAAAATTATAAGTACTATCTTACAACAATATCATAAGTTTGTAGAACTATCTCATATAGATGTGATATTTACAAATTAAATAAAATTACATCGTTTTAAAGAAACTACAAATTTCGCAATTATTTTTTTTACAATATTAGAAATTTTGTTTAATGACTAATTAATTAAAGAGGATTTAGGTTAAGATATCTTTTAAAGAATTGCTTTTGGTTTTTCATTAACCTTTATTTTGAAAATATCCGAAAAGAATATACATGTTTAAGCTTGCACCAATCCAAAAATTAAAAAGATTTGAACTAAATGCAATATATTTACTAAATTACTAAAAATAATAGATCTTGGTGTTCTTCTACCATCTCTTATTCCATCAATCTTTTGGCATCCGGGCCGTCGCTAATATCTCGCCTTTCTCGCACTCGATCGTCAACATATCCATGTCTCTTTACCATCTCTATCATAACCACGTCTAAAAAAAGAAGACAAAATGATGAATAACAAAAAAGAAAAAGCAAATCATTTAACTCAAATATAAGAAATCGTTTTAACAAACCTCTTTTTTCCATTAAGTGGCTGTATATTTATAATCATGTAGATAAAATCGTCAGTTTTGTATAACTGATGAGCAAGAGCAAGGCATGCGTCGTCATCACCTGCACGAAACAAATAAAGTAATTATCAACACATGGCATAAACAATTGCTTAAATCACAATGGTAAGCACAACAAATCAATAGTAGTCACATTATCCCAAAAGAAATTCAGTTTTTTTTTTTAA